GTAACAAATCTTATGATAAATAAAAAAAAAAATTTTACTTGCAAACTCGTTAACATCCTCCGCAGATTTCTTAAGTCTTAGCAAAAATCAGAGATCTTACTCCTTTTCATTGCTACTGGCCACAGCGACGAGCCCATAACAAATATTTCATATCTGACTATTAAAAGCGCGTTATACAAATTTGTATATGATCATTATCGAGCGAGTGTGTTCAAAGAGGAACACATGCGTAACCTGAAATGTTCATTCTGAACCCAGCAAGCAAATCACTGGTTATATCGCTTTGTGTTCATTATAGGAGCGGAGATACTTATTGAAAACATTTCCGTAAACCGAAATGATCATTCTAAACCCAACATCCAAGACATTGGTCGCAACGCGGTACGTGTTCATATATGGAGCAGACTCGTTAAAAGAGAACTCGTCTGTAAACCAAATATGTTCATCAGAAAACCCAATAAGCAAGACATTGGTCATAGCCATGTAACACGCCCATGTGCGGGGTAGACTTGTTAAGTATAAACTCGTTGTAAACTGGAGAGCCCATCATAAAATTCCAGCATACGAATCTTTACCATATCAACAGACTAAAGTAATCGTTGGAACGGATGAATTCACTTGAACTCATGCGTAAACCACAATACTTGGAGAAACGAACCACCTTAACGGGTTTTCCACAAAAATCCTTAGCAAAGGAGACCCGCGGAAATCCTTACCAAATTTTCCTCAAAAATCCTTGAGGAGGAAACTCGCGGAAACCCACAACAGGTTTCCTGCAAGAACCTTAGGAGACTTTCTGCAGTAGACTTGGAAATAGACAAGATAATTACTAAGTCTTTTGATATTTCAAAAAGAATATTTTAATTTATCACAACAAAAACATCTCGATAAACAAAAGCTGCATTCATTATCATCTTGTATCAAACGTGATTACAAGGTAAAAATCCTAAAAGTCATCCAGGCATCATAGCACAAGGAAACAAAACGGAGGAGAGCCATCCAGGCATCCAGACAAGTCCAAGTTCAAAAGCAAAAACATAAAAGAAAAAGAGTCAAACGAGCTACTGGTTACCCTCCTCCGCGGGTATCCTGCTACTCTCTGCAACAACCACTGGCTCCAACGGACCAACAAGGGCAAGATCGACAACTTCAACATCCCCAATACACTGTTGACCGGCTTCTCTGTTTCTCATAATCCTAACGGCAGCCGTGATGACACCTTTGACCCTTGTCTCAGTGACAGTAGGCTCAACAGCTCGCGGCGAAGGCCTGAGAACGTCCTCTAACAGTTCGTCGAAAGACCCCTAGCAGGAGCGCTAACAGGAGCGCTAGCGGCTGTGTCGACGAAAATCTCCTCGCTAGACGAACCAACACGGGCCTAACGCTCAACCTATGAACTTAGCTCTGGAAGATCCAGATTATCCTCATTTGACCCAAACTGGTCGCGAACCCCGACTCTAGCCGGGGAGAGCTCGATCGGCTTGCTAGCGGTAAACTCGTCAGTAATGTCCTGAATCCTTAACTCTGCCTTCAAAGCAGCAGCGGCACTATCAAAACTCTTATACGCCCTAGCATACTTCACTCCGCGATCTTTGAGGTTCTTCATCTCTTCGGCCAAAATCGGGGGCTCCTTGCCCTGTAGGAGCGTAACAAGCTCCATATTCCCATCTACTTGTGCAAGATAGGCCATCTCGGTAACCACTTTGCCAGTGAGCAATTTTAACTTGCCCACGGCTCATGCCATCTGATCCTGAAAGCTTTTGGTTACCTCGCGCTTGACATTAGCCACGGCGCTGGCAACTTACGAGTCATAAGCATCAGTGGCGGCGTCAATGACTCTTTGCTGCTGTGCTATCAGCGAGTCACGCTTTGTGATGCTGTGGTTAAGTTGTACAACCTCGTCTCGCGCCTCCTTGTAACTCTTTTCGAGGGTACCGACACTGGACTTGAGATCGGAGATCTCCTTGGCCGCATTCTCACGCTCGGCGAAACCCTTGACTTCTTTATCTCTCCATTGCTTCTCAAATGCCTTAGACTCCACGCGAGCTTCTCGAACACTGGATAGATCTCTCTGCGCATCCGTCTCGTATCCAAGCACCATGCTGTTCAAATAGGAGATAAACTTCGCCAGAAAGACAACATATCGCAATAGTCAAGCAATTGTTCACAAATCACATCAACAAAAAGCACCAAGCAAACAATGCCTTGGCTCCGCGAAGGGACATATCCGCGTATGACTGAGCTCTGCTCAAAGTACTCAGCGAAGGAAGATGATCGGCTTATATAGTGATCCCAGAGAAAAGGGACACCGCAGCCGCATCATTATCATGAAACCTCCCGGGAGTAGGATCCATCGAAACAATCTTCGACGAAGGAGGAAGTAGAGGCGAGATACGCTGCCTCTTCGGGATTTTCGAGTTAGTATCTCCGTTTTCTTCATCCGGGGGAGGACACTTGCTACCGGAAGCATCTCCGACTACAATCTTGTCCTTCTCGCGACCCGCGGTGTTCTCTTAATCACGACCCGCAGTACAGTTTATGTCGCGGCCCACGGCCCCTGCGTATTATAGCCCGTGGCTTTCTCCTTACCGCGGCCTGCGGTTTTTCCTGTGGGTAGCTGCAAAAGTGGATCCCGCGGGGGCCTTCGCAACAGAGTAACCTGAGGCAGGAACCTTTGGGATAGTAGGGTAGCCGCGGTGGGACTAGCATGCGACTCGGGTGCACCCCTCAAAAATGCTGTGGCTCAGGGCCTTCGCATGGAAGGACCAACGTCTTTCTAGGTCAGAGCCATGGCCTGCTTCGCTGCTTTTGCATCCAAAGCTTTCGCATCCAAAGCTTCTTGCTTTCAGAATGACGGTCTCTTCATGTCGATATCAGAAGATGAGGTGTCAACGGGAATTCCTTGCGAAATTGCTAAAGCCCTTATAACCCTACGGAGGCAGAAATCGCATAGCCAACTGCACCTCTTTGCAGCAAGTGTACCTCGAACAACGTCAAAAACAGCAGGCATCGGAAGCCGATGGTAGCGAGCTGCGAATAAAGAAACAAAAAACAAGTCAGAAAATAGAGTTATAATAGTTTACTATGCAAATTTTAAAGCAAGCAATTCAAATAACAATCAATGGTATGACTACCGAGAACTCCCCAACGAGTTTTCACTATATCCACACAGTTCGGGCCAACCGAAGCTTCCGAGACCCGAACAAAGAAAAAATGAGTTTTAGGAAACTCGTCATTTCTTGGAAAGTCGTGAATCTCTCTTCCCGTTGCTTTGCTCGGAACGTAGTACTTTAGCTCTTCTTCCTCGCCATGCCGCCAGAATTCCAACATCCACTCTAAGTGATCAATGCAAACTTCGACTTCGCATTCCACAGCGCGAATTAGTATTCCAACCAGGTGACGAATTTCGCGGGTATTTATCTGAGCCAGGGCGAGGTTGTAGCTCCGAAGAACGCGTCAAATCCCTTCGAGGGATAGGAAACCAGAGAAAGCATTCGTGGAAAACACTTTCGTAGAGAGTAAAATAACCCTTCGGAGGTCTGTTGGCTCTGTCCGTGGGAGAAGGAACAATCATTTCAACATCATCAGGAACGTGAAACTGGTGCCTAAGATGCCTCAACGATTTGGGCGATGACAGGCTTGAACATGGCAGCTTAGGCCCTTCCAACTCTTTGTTTTTCTTCTGTTTCGACAAAGCTTCCGCCGGATGCGCGGTAAGACGTGCATGCTCCCGCCACTCAGCCATAACGTTAGAACAAGAGTCTACCGAATTGGGTCTCTAGGCACTAGCGCCCGTCTCTCCGGGAAAGTGTTGGAGCGAAGGCACCAAGAATTCTTTGCAGCTAGATTCACGGCTCTCTGGAGAGGATAAGCTCCAGGAATACCTGCAGGATGGAGTCTGGGTAACCGACAAATCTTCGGGCGACCGCTGTTCGGGAGAAGATGTTAGGTTCTGACACTCTCCAGACATGTGGCGTGGTTCAAACTTTCACAAGATCCACGTCAAAGTATGAAACTCACAAACCGGAACAGGTTTCACCACCCGTGGCTCGGAGTACACCAACAGAACACGGGTTTCACGCGAACCGCGGACAACTCGTGTTTCCTCCTGAAACAGAATGAGTGCCCAACAGATCAGGTTCCACGCGGTCGATTTCTTCTCAATCCAACACAACATGAGTTTCACGTGAACCGCGGACAACTCATGTTTCTTCTTGAAATGAATCGAGTGCCCAACGGATCAGGTTCCAACCGTCGGTTCATCTCCCAATAATGTAATCACACCACGAGACTAATTCGCATCAACAACTCACCACGCCATCGGTTTCGTTAACAGCAAACAGCGGCTCGAATATGGAGGCTCGGAGTTCTTGCCGGCTCAAGGTCAGCGCGGCTCGGGTTTGTTTCGCCACTGCTTGGGAACAACCAAACTTTCCAAGGCTCGGGATCTCAAAATCCACCACGACTCGGGCTAACGGCTGCTCAGGGCCTCCCATGACGCAGGGCAGGATGCCGACAGTTCAAGGGCACAAGCCGGGGGTCGACACAACGCTTGTCAGAGAGGGGGCGACGCGGGTCGTAAGCGGTGCGTTTCAACAGATCGACGGCGACGAGGTGCTCACTAGAAAACAGAAGAAAACAGCTCATGGTTTCGAAACTTTCACGATTCGGGTCACAGTGGCACAAAATGAGGAGAGTAATGCAGTTCGCTGGAGATGGAAGACCCGGCAGTAACACTCACGCAAAAGGAGAGAGAGAAAGCTACCTTTTTAGAGAGAGATTGAGAAGGGGAGTTGTGAGCAAAATTTCACCCTTTTTTCATTTTTATAGAGGTGGGATTTTTGTCCTAATTCCCTCCTCGTTTTTCGCTCCAAAAAAAAATTTGAAGGCCCAAACCATGTTCTTAGGGGCCCGATGCAAACATATTACAACAAGTATGAACCGCTTTTACCATAACTTAGCCAAACAAAACGGCAGAAACGGGTCATATTCGCAGTGGTTCGAGATATTTCGGACATGGTTAACGGCTATCTCTTGGCAATGCAAGGACCGCTGTTAGTAATTAACGGGTTTTCCAAATCACCCGCCGAAAACCATAAATCCGACCCATGGTAAACCGAACATTCAACCCGCGGTAAACCATAAACACGACCTACGCGACAATAGAAAAGAGGCAATGGGCCGAGCCGCGGGGTGATGATGATCGAGTACTGGGTTGAACCACTAGGATGGGCTGAGCCGTGAAGAGAAGCCCGCAGCATGTAGCTGACTCTGCAGAGAAAGAATCTCGCAGAATTAGGAAAGCATCTCTATCTCTTTGACAGAAACCCTAACCGCAGAGGAGGATTATAAATATGTTTGTAACCCCCCCCCCCCCATTAAGGGGGATCGGCAGCTTTTCGCATAAACACTTGTAACATTGATTCGCAGAACATCAATAAAGAAAAACCTATCTTCTTATGTTTTGCATTCTGTGGTTCGTAACATAGAAATCTTTGTTCCTCAAACCCTAGACAATTTATATTGTTCGAGTTTCGACTCCCACA